AAATTAGTAGTTTCGATCATTTTGATGATGTCGTGCTGATGTTTTATCTGTATATTATATTAAATATTTCTGGTATGATTAGTCAAAATTGTAACCGTTTCCATATTTACACCAAAGACAAATTCCTTGTGTGTCCAATCACACTTGACCAATAAAGAATTCTGTTCTATTCTATTTGTGTATTTTCAACATAAATTAGAGACAAAGGACTGGGAGAATAGCCAGTTAAAAATAACAACATAAGCTTTATTTCAACTGATGGGTTTAATTTTTTTTAATCAAAAGAGTATTGTTTGAAACGTATAGATAGCGTTTTGAAAGAACAAAAGGTGCTGACTAAAATTTGTTTTGTTTTGCAGATTGACGCCTAAAAAGCTAACGTGACCATGGGAGATATGAAGACTCCAGACTTCGATGATCTGCTTGCCGCCTTTGACATACCAGATATGGTTGACCCAAAAGCGGCTATTGAATCTGGCCACGAAGATCATGACAGCCATATAAAGCAGAATGTCCATCCGGAGGATGATTCCCATGCACCCTCCTCATCTGACGTGGGTGTAAGTGTCATTGTGAAAAATGTGCGGACAATTGATTCCTCTGAAGGAGCGGAGAAAGACAACCACCATTCCACAGGCAACGGGTTGCACAACGGTTTCTTAACGGTATCCGCTCTAGAAAGTTTTAATAAAGAGGAAGGCAAATCACTCAAAGACGAGGGCACCGTCTCGGAAAATACACTGAAAGAGTCTGCCTTTAACCAATTTAGTCCCATCTCAAGTGCTGAAGAGTTTGACGACGATGAAAAAATCGAGGTGGACGACCCCCCAGATAAAGAGGACATGCGTGGAAACTTCAGAACAAATGTATTAACAAGGTCTGTCTCCCAGCAGGACTATGAGAAGTTAAAAGTACTTGGAGGAGAAAACCTGATGAAACACGGAGTTGCAGGTTCAGGTAATTCTGATAAACCCAAGGTGTCTAAAAGAGACTCGGAAACAAACCCATCGCCTTTAGGTCACTATGAACCCTTTAAAGCTAGGAAGATAGATGACAAGCTGCTTAAAGAAAACTCCGAGAAGGTCCTGGAAAACAGAGCAGTCGATGGGAAAATAAATACGGAGAAAGGAGACTCAACCCTTACCAGTCTTTCCCAGGCTAAAGCAAAATCCTCAGCAAAACTCTCTTCCTGTATTGCCGCAATTGCAGCTCTAAGTGCTAAAAAAGCAGCCACGGACACTGGCAAAGACCCACAATCCAATTCAAGGGGATCCTCTCCCTTGCAGAAAGATACCAGTGAAAGCCCCCGCGCTGTGGACAAATCCCCCGAGTCTCAGAGTCTCATTGACTGTGCAAAAAAGCCCCCCGTCAAACAACCCGACAGTCCCAGGAGTATATCAAGTGAAAACAGCAGCAAAGGTTCCCCACCATCGCCTGCAGGCTCGACGCCAGCTATCCCCAAAGTGCGCATCAAAACCATCAAGACGTCCTCGGGGGAGATCAAGAGAACGGTCACGCGTGTGTTGCCCGAAGTTGATTTGGACAGCAGTAGGAAACCAGAGCAAGCAGCTTCCATGGTGGCTTCTGTGACGTCGTTGCTGTCTTCCCCGACTTCTGCTGCAGTTCTTTCTTCTCCCCCCAGGGCACCTCTCCAATCAACAGTGGTCACCAACGCGGTGGCTTCTGCGGAGCTCACTCCCAAACAAGTCACCATTAAGCCTGTGGCAACTGCTTTCCTTCCCGTTTCGGCTGTCAAGACGGCAGGGTCACAGGTGATCAATCTGAAACTCGCAAACAACACCACGGTGAAAGCCACTGTCATATCCGCTGCTTCAGTGCAAAGCGCCAGCAGCGCCATCATCAAAGCCGCCAACGCTATACAGCAGCAAACAGTTGTGGTGCCCGCCTCAAGCCTTGCCAGCGCAAAACTTGTGCCAAAGACGGTCCATCTTGCCAACCTTAACCTACTGCCTCAAAGTGCTCAGGCCACCTCCGAACTCCGCCAAGTGCTCACGAAACCTCAGCAACAGATCAAGCAGGCAATAATTTCCGCAGCAGCGTCTCAGCCTTCGAAAAAAGTGTCTCGGGTTCAGGTGGTGTCCTCTCTCCAGAGCTCTGTCGTTGAAGCTTTCAACAAGGTGCTCAGCAGTGTTAACCCCGTCCCGGTTTATATCCCGAACCTTAGCCCTCCTATAAATGCGGGCATCGCTTTACCCACACGCGGTTACAAGTGTTTGGAATGCGGCGACTCCTTTGCCCTTGAAAAAAGCCTGGCCCAGCACTACGACCGGAGGAGCGTGCGGATCGAAGTCACCTGTAACCACTGCACAAAAAACCTGGTTTTCTATAACAAATGCAGCCTCCTTTCTCATGCACGGGGTCACAAAGAGAAAGGGGTGGTGATGCAGTGTTCCCATTTGATTCTGAAGCCAGTTCCTGCCGATCAGATGATAGCTTCTCCCACAAGCAATAGTTCTGTTACGTCGTCCATTCTTCAGAATCCGACCGGAGTGGGCACCCACACCATAACCAAGATCCAGTCCAGCATAACTGGGACAGTCATATCGGCTCCTTCAAGTACGCCTGTTCCACCCGCCATGCCTCTAGATGAAGACTCTTCGAAGTTGTGCAGGCATAGTCTGAAGTGTTTGGAATGTAATGAAGTTTTCCAAGATGAAACGTCTTTAGCCACCCACTTCCAGCAGGCTGCAGACTCAAGTGGACAAGTACAGTATCTTATGTTTACATTCCAGTATTTTTGCCGTGTGCAAAAAAACCTTTGGATGGGGGCTTTTTCCTAGCTTTCTTATAAGCGTAAACTATCTTTATAGCAGAGCAGTGGAAGGGTGGTTTTAAATTGGGAGGAATTGTTTGGAAATTGGATACTGCTTTGAAAGGACAAAAGTGGCTTGGACCTACTTAGTCCTTTATTCAATTAGAATATAAGGATATAGTTCTCTCTTTAGATCGATGCTGAAAAGTCAGAACTGAGTTATCATAGCCCAGAAAACAAAAGGTAAAGTCAACTAGTAAAACTCTAGCCACTTTAAGAACTGAGGACTTCAGCTCCCAGAATTCTGGGAGTTGAAGTCCACACATCTTAAAGAGACCCAGTTGGGAAACACTGCAGTAAAACATTTCTGCAGGGTTAGTGCAGAATCTGCTAATGAAGGTTATAGACTAAACCCATAGCTATGGAACTTGTCTCTGTGAGTTGTTGGGATCTGGAAATGGAGTAAATTAGAAAAAAGATGCTACCTTTCTCTCCACATCCTTTTCTGCCTTTCCACAGATTGTTCTTGTGGCTCCAAGCAACTTTTTTTTTTTTAAGGCATAACAATGGTAGGAATAAGCAGCATGTAAATTACAGGTCAGGCCCCATTACATGATTATCGGTTTACATATAGCGTTCTCCAGCATGATGATTGTAGATTATCAGGTAAAAAAATGTGTGGTCTAGTGGTTAAGGCACCAACCTAGAAAATGGAAAGCAGTGAATTCTACTCTCTTCTTAGGCATGAAAGCCACCTTGGTTACTTTAGGCCTGTGATGGTAAACCTATGGCACCTGTGCCCGAAGTGGCACGCAGAGCCATGTCGACTGGC